GAGAGGAATTCCATTGTGTTCTAATTATTGAAAATTTATTTAATCATGAAAGAATGCTGCATTTTATCAAATGCTTTTCAGTATTAATTATGATAATGATGTGTTTTTTGCCTTTTTTCAACTAGCTTGCTGTATTACTTTCATTGGGTCTTATGTTTTGCATTTACCCTTGCATGCATTCCTGCACAAATCCCATTTGATCATAGTGTATAATCCTTTTAATATGCTGCTGGATTTGGTTTGCTAGTAATTTGTTGAGGATTTATGCATCTATGTTCATAGGGATATTGGCCTGTTTTTTTTTTTTTATTTCCTAGCATGCCCCTCTGAAATTTTACTTTACTTTAAAACTCTATTATCTCTAGTTTTAATGAATTTTCCCCTCATGTTATAACTGCTGAAGAAATTTTCTTCTGGGAATTCCTTTACTTTTTTTTTTTTATAAGAGCCAAGAATGCATACTGCTATTTGTTAGCATGGCAAGGGTTTAGAATGCAAAACTATGAAAGGAGACCATGAAAGCTTTAGTAATTACAGCTTTTGAAAGATTTGTTTTTATTTGTGTGGCTGCCAGGTGCATGTGAGTAAAGGTGCCCATGATGCAGAAGAGGGCACTGGATCTCTTGGAGGTATAGTTACAGATGGTGTAAATGGTTGCGTGTGGGCACTGAGACCCGAATTCAGAGCCTCTGAAAAATCAGCACATGCCCTATTGAGCCAATTCCTTAGACTTAAATTATATCCCTAGTGAAGATTTTATCCTGTCTCCCAGGGGTTAAATAGGCCATTGACAGAAAATTGTAGATGAAAGAGGAAAGACCCTCTCAGCGTCTGAGGAAAGAGAATCGCAATCTTCCCCTGTTCAATGGTGGTATCGGCCTGTGTGCTTTTTCTAGCCTCCCTCACCTTGGAATTATATTTACTTTAAATTTTATCTTTAGTTTTATAATCTTTGTTTTCATGTTGCAATCTCAGATGGAAATCTGAGACACTGATTAATATTTCAGTCCCTTCTCGGTAGCTGTAGAGGCAAGGGCCTGAAGGGCCAGCCATCCCATAAGCACACCCACGGATTAGAATCATCTAAAACCATAGGATCAGTTTTGTTACTCTACTTTCACAGTGATCATATTTTGCTGTCTTTTCTTCCACTGCCTACCTCCTACTCTTCCTCTCTTCCCATAACTTTCCCTTCTCTGGACTCTCACACTCTCTTCCTCTCATGCCGTGACTGGCCTTCTTTCTTTCATAGGATATTCAATCATTGCAGAACGGCATCCATTAGAATGCCTGGGTGCCTCTCATCACAGGGGTTCTGTTGGTAAGGATGCCCGCCTGGAGACTCTGTCTTCCTGTAGTCTGTGGTTCTAGAATGAAGAGGAAATGCTACTGTAAGCTCTGTCCAAACTTGAACACCTGTCAGTTCATTACAGCCAGCTATACTGAAGAGCCGAAAGATGGTACCCACTTCAGCTGACAATGGTTTCCAGTGTTGTTTATTTATGGCTTGCTCTCTTTCACAAACAATTTGAAGCACCTTATAAAATACATAGAAGAGGGTAGAATAAGTAGTTGAAATAATCAGAGCAATATGGAAATCAGGATATGGAAATAAACCTTGGATAGGAGTCACATAGACTTAAATCATGGGTGTTTTTTTTCTTCAATTGTTGAGTGGATGTACATGTTTTGCTCTAAGTTTCCACAGGGTTAAAATAAAAAGTGAATTATTATGACCAATTATGTAATGCATAGCATCCTCAAAGTTAAAAACACCCCAGTTGTTCTGGAAGAACCCTTTTCTGTTCATAGCACTCGGGAATTTTCTTCGATCTGCGATCTACTTATTCCCTGAAGCCTCCCGTGGAAGACTATGTTTGGTAACCAGCATCCCTTAACAGGCCTTCCTGGCATTGTCTTAATAATTTAACGAACCATGGTATAGTGCTGAGTGTATTTCAGATATAAGTCTAGGTGGGACCAAAACAAGGTGCTTTGAAGATGAAATTTGTTACAGCTCAGCAAACCATGTTCTTTCTTGAAATCTCCTATGCTGATTGAGTGTCACACATTGAAGTAATAAAGGCAGTGGCGGGGCTGCGTCCCCAACACCCCAGCCGCCTGCCCGGCTAGCTTATGCCCTGAAATAACAACACACAAACTGTATTCATTTAATCACTGCTTGGCCCTTCTGCCCTAGCCCTTACTGGCTAATTCTGATATCCCGATCAACCCATCTCTAATAATCGGTGAGCACCGGTCTTACCGGGAAGATTCTAGCCTAGTCCATCCTGGGTCGAGCTTCATGGCGTGTGTCTGCCTGGGAGCTGGGAGTATGGCGTCTCCCTGAGGCGTCTGCTCCCGAGAGCAGAGCGGTGGAGTCTCTGCCCTCACTTCCTCTTCCTCCCAGCGTTCTGTTCTGTTTACTCCTCCCACCTATCCTCTAACCAATAAAATGGGCCAGGGCAGTGCCTTTATTAGCCAATGACCTTCCTCCATCAACACATAAGCAAGCTTTTATAGTTTTTGAAAAGACAATATGTCTGTGGGGGGAGGGGTGATTACAGATTTCTGGGGAGTCTAGAGTTGTAAAATTCCCTTATGTTGAAGTTACAAGTTTTGTGAGTTGCTTGATGTGGATGCTGGAAATCAAACTGTAGTCCTCTGCAAGATCAATACATGCTATTAATCACTGAGACATCTCTCCAACCCATCAACCAAACCTTCTGGCCATAACAAGGAAGAGAAGAATCATGTTAGAGCAGGCATTGGCAGGAAGCTCATCTGGAGTTCCCAAGCTCACTTCTCAGCACACCAAGGTATTAGAGTATTTGTTCCTCAGGGTTGTAGGAATGAGGTCCCCATTTCTTCTTGCAGATCCTTAAGTCTTCCAAAGGCCATATGGCTGTTCATGGCCATCAAAGTCCATTCTCTCTCATCTGTAAGAATGGAATCTTACATAAAAGAGGCTAATCACAGGCATGAAATCTCATTCTTTATGGGTTCTCACCACACTCAAAGGGCTTTCTCTAGGACATGTGCGTGGAGGTGGAGCCACTTCTGACTACCATGGGACCCTGTTCATCATGGTGTTCAGTTGGAATGGTGTTTCTTTCGTGAGCTCTTCATAGATGCTCTTCTGTGCCTTCATCCACATAGCATTTCATACAATCTCTTACTCTGCGTCCTCTATGTGAACTACGGCCTTAGAATTCATGACTGTGTCAGAATCTGACCAGGACACTTTGCCTTTGAATACTCATTTCCCAACTGCTTGCTTGCTCTTTCCACATTCCTGAGATAGCTTATAAAACATTAACAGTGGTATTTTTAAAAAGGTGATGTTTTATTGAATTTTTTATGTAATATATCCTACTTACAGTTTCCACGCCCTCTCTTCCTCTCAGTTCTCCCCACCTCACCTCTCAGTCAAATCTACCCCCTTTTGTCTCTCATTAGAAAACAAACAGTTTCTAAGGATTACAATATATTATGTTATAATATAATGTAATGATAAAACAAAAAAAATACATCAGAATAGGATAAAACAAACAAAAAGAAAAAGAGTTCCAGAAAAGGCACAAAAACATAGATGCAGTGACCCACTCATTCATACACTTGTAAATAACATAAAAATACAATACCAGAAGCCATAATATATATGCAGTGGACATTTATGACTAGAGAGAGAGACAGAGAGAGATAAAGATAAAATTAATGAAGAAAAGGGCTCAATATGACATTATGAGACAGAGAACCTACAAAGGTGTTGTGGAGTTAATTTTCTGTGCTGTCTACTGTTTGACATGCAGACTACTCTTAAGAATAGTTTGTTTCCCCAGTGAGACTCCCTTGCAAGTGGTTATCAATTGGAGATAGCTTATGGGTTAAGGACGGGGGCATGTGTACAATTCGTAAAGACTTGATACTGTTTTTCAATTGTCAGCCATCTGCAGTGGCACATTTTGAAGATTTATCTCTGTATAGCTAGCTAATTAGGGAGAGATCTTATCTTCCTTTCTCTTAAGTGATCTGCATATAGGCTACTAATGTTTGAATCAGAGCAAACACAGATTACAGGAAATCCTAATTCAGAGGCAGGAGCCAGGGGTTCGACTTGGAGCTGGGGCAATGACTCGGCACGTAGAGTATTTGCTATGCTAGCATGAGGACCTGACTTTGCATCCCCAGTATGCAAATAAAAAGCCAGGCATGACAGTAAATGCAAGCCTGTCATCCCAGTGCTGGGAAGATGAAGACAGAAGGATCTCCAGGACTTGCTGGCTAACAAGTCTCACTGAATTGGCAAATTTTGGGTTCATTAAGAGACCCTATCTCCAAAATATGATATAAAGGCTGGCAATGGTTAAGAACACTTCATTCTTGCAGAAGATCCAGGTTCCACACCTAGCACCCATCTGGCAGCTCACAACCACCTGGAGTTACAGTTCCAGAGGTTCCAATGCTCTCTTTTGGCCTTTGTGAGCACTATATGCATGTACATACATGTGGTTCACAGACATACATGGAGGCAAAACAACCATATACATAAAATAAAAATAAATAAATCTTTTAAAAATAGAGTACAAAGGGGACTAAGAAAGGTACCTGCTGCTGACATCTGGCTCCAACACAAACACTTGCTCCTTTACCCACAAATGCACTCAAATGTACACACACACACACACACACACACACACACACACACACACGGTGCAGGAGGGAGAGAAGACTGGAGGAGAACTATGTGGATGAACAAGCTTCCCCTTTGAATTTTATTGAGAAGCTAAAGACACTCCCAGCTGGTATGATTCCAGAGAGCTTCCAGGGGGATATGAGTGTGGAAATGAAGAAAATGTAAGATTAAACATTGTCTTAGATGAGTCCACTCTTCAGCCCTGCCACTAAGAGTCATTGCCAGTGTTCATCAGAGCACACCAGGCATCTGTGCGAACTTGATGCTTTCCTAAATGCACATTTTACTTTGTTTCTTCTCACAGCTGGTGCTCAAGATCAAATTGGCTGGGCTTTTGGTCTTGGGTTAGAAAGACTGGCAATGATCCTCTACGACATCCCTGACATCCGCCTCTTCTGGAGTGAGGACGAGCGCTTCCTGAAGCAGTTCCGCGTGTCAGACATCAATCAGAAGGTCAAGTTTCAGGTAGGATGACTATAAGAATTAGGATAATGTTGATAAAAATTGTCATCAAAATAGAGGAGGATCTTCTTATTGAAAACTATAGAATTTTTAAATATTATTTTAGAATTCAGGATGACAATCTTGACTGTCAGCTTGATGGGTTTTAAAGTTATCATGGAAACAAATCTGTGGGCATTTCTTTAAGGTGTTGTGGTTTGGATAAATATGGCCCCATAGACTCCTGTGTTTAAGTGCTTGGTCCATATGGAGTGGCACTATTAGGGAGTTTGGCCTTGTTGGAGGAAGTGTGCCACTGTGGAGCTACAGTTTGAGGTCTCATATATGCTCAATCCATGCTCAATGACACAGTTGCGCTGTGCTGTCCAGAAGGCATTGTTTGCTGTCGTCATCCACTGCCTATGGCTTTACAATCTTTCCACTCCTTCTTTGGCAGTGGTCCCTTTGATATTGGAAGTGTGTGTGTTATAGATGTCCCATTTGGATTTGAACATTCTATTGTTTTATTCTCTTCACCTTGACTAGTTGTAGGTTACCGTCTACTGAAAAAAAATAAAAGCTTCTCTGATGAGGCTTGAGAGGTATATTAATATGAGGTATAATGACATAATGGTAGGTCATTGGGAGTTATTTTAATATCATGTCCTTTTACTGTAGAAATTGTAAATTGATCTCTAGGTTCTATGTCCTGTCTGGCCACAGGTATCTGGATCTTATAACAGTATAAAATATGGGTTTCATCTTGTAGAGCAGGCCTAAGTCTAATCAAATACTGTTGGTTGCTTCTAGGACATTTATGGAACTATAGTATTTGTGAGCTTATCTAAACAGGCAAGTTGTTATTATAGCTCCCAGTTTTCATATCTCAGTAAGACTGATAACTTTCTTCATCCAGTGGTGTGCATAACACTGCTTAGCACTATGAAAGCCATTCATTAGTTTTTAGATCAGTCTAAGCTTGATTTCTCCATATTCTATTGCACTGTAGTTCAGTGTTTCTTCAGCAACAGGATTTGGAAGGTGACTAAGAGCAATGGCAAATGCCTGTAATATGTGATGGCCTGTGGGACCTTACAGACCAACAACTCCAAAAGAGGTAACCCATTCCTGACACTGGGCTTTTGATTTGTTAAGCTATGGTGTATTCTTTGGACATTGTTGTCCTGTTAGAGAGTAACTCCATTTAATCTTTCTCTCTCTCTTTTTCTCTCTCCATCTCTTGTTCTATCTATCTATCTATCTATCTATCTATCTATCTATCTATCTATCATGTGTGTGTGTATGTGTGTATCTATATATACACACACACACACATAATTTTTTTCATCTTCATACAAACCTAAGTATATCTGGAAAAAAGGAATCCTAATTGAGATAATACCTCCATATGATTAGCCTGTGGGCAAGTCTGTAAGGTGTTATTATTATCAGTGATTCATGTGAGAGGGGCCTATCCACTGTGGGCAGTGCCATTGTTGGCGAGGTAGTCCCAGGGTGTATATATGAATGTAGGCTGAGCAAATGAGTAAACATAATTCCTACATGGTTTCTGCTTCAGTTCCTACCTCCAGGTTCCTGCCTTGAGGGTTTTTTTTTTTTATTGTTTTTATTGAGCTATACATTTTTCTCTGCTTCCCTCCTTTCCTTACCCCTTCCCTTCTGCCCTCTCCCATGATACTCATGCTCCCAATTTACTTGGGAAATTTTGTCTTTTTCTACTTCCCATGTACATTAGATCCATATGTATCTCTCTTAGGGTTCTTATTGTTGTCTAGGTTCTCTGGACTTGTGAGTTGTAGGCTGGTTTTTCTTTGCTTTAGGTCTAAAAGCCACTTTTGACTAGTACGGATTACATTTGTCTTTCTGGGTCTGGGTTACCTCACTCAATATGATGTTTTCTATATCTATCCATTTGCCCGCAAATTTGAAGATGTCATTATATTTTGCACTGTGTAGTACTCCATTGTACAAGTGTACCTCATTTTCCTTATCCATTCTTTGCTGGAGGCTGCCTTGATATTTTGCTCTGACTTCCCCTTATTGATGGAGTATGAGCTGAGAGTTGTAAGATGAAATAAATCCTTCTTTCCCAAAGTTATTTCAGGTCTTGGTGGTGGGTTTTTTGTTTTGTTTTATTTTGTGGGGGGGGGGTTGTTTGTTTGTTTTTAAGATACGGTTTTACTGTGTAGCCCTGGTTGTCCTGGACCTCATTCTGTAGACCAGACTGGCCATAAACTAACAGAGATCCACTTACTTCTGGCTCCTGAGTTCTGGGATTAAAGGCTGTACCACCATCATTCTGCAGGTCTTGGTGTTTTATCACAGCAGTATGTTGACCAAGGTTTCTGTCCACCCAGTCCTGAAGTCATTCAGCCCCAAAGAAACACACAAAGGTCTACAGTTATTATAAAACTGGTCAGCCCATTAGCTCAGGCTTCTTAGTTTTATAATTAATGTAGACCTCTGTGTGTTTCTTTGGGACTGAATGACTGCCGTACCGGGTGGGACAGAAACCTTAGTCAACAGCAGTAGAGACCCTCATTAAGACCAAGTCTTCTACAGTAGCTGTTTTCTCATGCAAACATTTCAGAAGGTGTAGTTTTTCCTTTCTTTCTTTCTTTCTTTCTTTCTTTCTTTCTTTAAAAAAAATCTTTGGGGGCTCACTACCCATCTGCCAAATAAATACACAGAGACTTAATTTATCTTCTGAATGTCTTGTTTCTAACCAGCTTTTCTATCTTAAATTATCCTGTTTCTCTTTAACTATGTTTTGCCTCTGGATTTTTTTTTCTTTCTTCTACATATTTTTCTTTCCTTCTTACTCTGTAGCTGGCTGTGTGGCTGAGTAGCTGTCCCGTCCCCTGGCATCCACTTCTTCTTCACCGTTTCTTGTTCCTCTCTCTTCTTTTGGGCCTAGATTTCTCCTACTTATTCTCTCTGCTTGGCAGCCCCACCTCTGTGCTGTCTAGCTATTGCTGTTCAACTCTTTAGTAGACCATTCAGGTGTTTTAGGTAGGCAAAGTAACACAGCTTCACAGAGTTAATCAAATGCACCATAAAATAATGCAAAACATCTTAGCATCATTAAACAAATATTCCCCAGCATAAATCAATGTAGCACATCTTAATCTAGTATTTCACAAGAAGGTCTTTGGTGTTAATTATCCCTCCCTATACTCCCTCTACTCTGCTCTCCAAGTTTCAAGATTATTGTTAAGATTATTCTTCTTTCCTGATTTTTAGCACTGTGTTCTCCCCACCCACTCACCCCCGCCTTTCCCATGGAAGCCCCTACCATGACCTCTTAATTTCTTCATCCAGTAACTAATTCCAAGACCACTTCTATACTTTAAGGTATTTGTTATAAATACCTTAAATACAAGAAACCAAAGTATGTATCAGTTTCTATTGTTGCTTTGACACATGACTACAGAGTCAGAGGTTTAAGCAATATGAAGTTGTGTCCTTTCCTTAATGTAGTAATTGGCCTGTCCAAAGTCAAGGTAGCAGTAGGTGTGCTTCCTTAGAGCGTTTCCTGGGGACAATCTGTTCCTGTGCTTTTGCCAGCTCTCTAGGCCCTAACATGACTATGTATCACATGGACTCTTTACCCCCTGGCATCTCATCACTTCTTCTGAATTTTTGCCTCCTTCTTAGAAGGATTCCTATGATTCCATGGTGTTAGCAACATAGTTCAGAAAGGTCTTACCTGGTTTTTGTTTGTTTGTCTTATTTTGTTTAGTTTGAGAGTTAGTCTAATTGTGTTGCCCTGACTTCCTTTGAAGTTGTTGTGTATACCAGGCTGTCCTCAAACTCCCAAATATCAATGTGCTTCTTGGAAGGCATCCAAGTGATGAGAATCAAAGTATGCACCACCATGTCCAGCCTGTCCAGACCTTTCCTCTGTAAAGGCATAGGGACATATTCACAAGTTCCAGGGTTCTAGATGTCTTTAGTGAGCATATTTTGCCTGCCACTCTCTCCTTTTCACATAAAGTTGCTTGCCATCAACTCTGGTAATTTTGTTATTGCCACTTTTTTACTGTTTTCATAGAGTTGCCATGTTTCTCTTCATAAGAGGGACTCAGAGTGTCTTCACAGAAGCAGCTGTTTGTATTCCTAGAGAACACTCTCGCCCAGACCAGAGGAGTAGAGATGGCTGTTTGTATTCCTAGAGAATACTCTCGCCCAGATGAGAGTGGAGATGCTGAGGAGAGCCTTCTGTGGCTGTGGTCTTACAGCTTATGACTTCTCTGGCTAGGAACCTCCAGAACCCTGCTGTGTGGAGGCCCAGATTTGTCTTCTTTATCTTCCCTTGGGCCCTAAGCTCTCTTGACCTCAGTAGCTGTATCCTCTGCAGGCTCTGTGGTCTTGTAAATCAGCTCCTAGATGTGAGGGTGCTCAGGCTGCTAGAGCAGTGTCTGATTTAGAGCACCCTGAGGCCTTATCTAGGAGACTCTTGTAATACCTTGAGAGCCATTTCTTAGACCTAGTAAGTAGGAAACTTGAGTTAGGTCATTTTAAGTTATTGGTCTTGGCATGCATATTTTGATCAAAGATGTTGCCTATGGTGGCTCTCTTCAGCCCACCTGGATAATACTTGAGATAAGTGGATAAGCAATGTGGTTGCTTTGTCATCCAAGTGTCCTCTTGCTCTGCACAAGAGCTCTCTGCCTCCTGCTGCAGGCCCAGTGTGCATCCATTAAGTGCGTGTGCCTTTGTGGGATGTTTCTCTCAATTCCCTTGAAGTCACACTTGCACGTCAGTGCCCTAAATTGAATGCACAATAAATAGCTTTTATATATCCTTCACAAATTTTAAGACCATCTACAACTGTGAGCTCAATATTTAGCCCTATATATAATATAGAATATTAATACATCATGTGTTTATTTACACAGCTTGCTTAAATGCCATTAATTAATGTCTGTCCATAGTAGCTTATGATTATTTAGCAATAGTGACTGTTTCCTTTTCTGCCAGATGAGGAGTCTTTGCAGGTC